GGAAGGAGGTATAAATTAAGCAAATGATGAACATCCTTTATTTCCTTATTATGGCTTCTTGACAGATTTCTCCTTTTTTATGTAGGGATTTCCTCTCGGCTTCATGTCCTCGTGAAGGAGTTGTTATCGGACAATGACCCTGAGAAGATCGTCATCTGTGTAGAAGTCCGCTCTTTCTTCTCTTTCATGAATGCTATGATCGGCAAGCTTTTCCATAGTGGACTTTCTCTTCGCCAATTCAAGCCTTTCCTTGATTCTAAAGTTAATTTGATAAGGGAGGCGGGGCATCCAGATTTGGCACAGGCTATAGTTGATGACCTTGATTGTCTAGAGCATGAGCTTCAGACGTTTCGTGAGCTCCGAGATGCAGGTGCCTCCTCATTTATTGCTGCCGAGCTGGACACCCGCTTACAGTCATCACGCGAGACTCAGGTTCTTGCTGAGCTCGAGATTCAGATGCAGCGGGGCCGAGTAGATCGAGTTAAGACGAGTCTTGCTACTAAATTATCTTCGCTTGCCGAGCTCGATCTTTCTATTACCTCCTGTGCGACCGAGATAGACCAGCTCAGAAGAACACTCCGTGAAAAAGAGGAGACTTTGGATATTCTTCAGATGACAAAAGCACAGGACCAGCAAACCCGCACGGCTTTATCTGACGAGTTGAGATCCCTGGAGCAGAAGCTAGCCGAGACAGAAGAGATTGCTGCGAGGACTTCAGCCACCACCGAGGAGTCCATCAGGGCTGAACTTAGGCAAGCTTATGATGAGAAGCTTTCTAAGATCAGTCAGCAAATTTTTGGTCATGGTCTTGATGTATGATTTTGTTTGCTGAACACTTTGACTTTTGATTCTCTTAGTGAAACTTGCTTTCGTCTTTATTATGATTCGTCATTCCATTTGAAATGATTGACCACAATACTCATAGGATTTTTGGCAAACCCTCAGCCATCAACGGGTTTGATGAGCCTTTACCGACTACCGTTTGAGTCGGGCTAGCATGCGGATTGTTTAAATCCGTTCGCATGTAACGTTATGCTCGGAGATTGAATTCTCCGAGACTTTGTGCTATGATGTCGAATACATAGACTTCGCCATTGTTACGGGAATAGGCTACCCGGCGACACGTGTTAGGTGTTGACTTTAGGATTTTTGGCTAACCCCCAGCCTTCAACGGATTTGATTAGCCTTTACCGACTACCGTTTGAGTCGGGCTAGCATGCGGATTGTCTAAATCCGTTCGCATGTAACGTTGTGCTAAAGGAATGAACTCCCTTAGACTTTGTGCTACGACATTGAATACGTAGACTTCGCTATTGTCATGGGAATAGGCTACCCAGCAACGCGTATTAGACGCTGACTTATCCCTACTTAGGCTTCGGGATAAAATACCCCAGAATGGTATTCTGGTGTCTTTTTCAATCGGTAAAAGACTAAACCGACGACACGTGTTAGGTGTCGACATATCCTTTCTTAGGATTCATAATGACATTCCCCATGCGTGTAAGGCATGGATTTTAGTGTTATTAATGTTAGGCGCAGACTTATCCTTGCTTAGGTTTCAGGATAGAATACCCCAGAATCGAACTCTGGTGTCTTTTTCTACGGAAAAAGACTAAACCGGCAGCGCGTGTTAGGCGCAGACTTATCCCTGCTTAGGATTCGGGATAAACTTCTTAGGATGAATCCTAGATTGACAAATTTTGAGAAAAGATTGGTGCGGGAAAGGGAGAATTTTATATTATATTTCCCGGTCTTCTTTTAAGGTGAAGGCGAACCCGAATACAAGGAAGGAAGAATTTTATATTCTATTCCTTGATTCTGGAAAGGAAGAATTTTATATTCTATTTCCAGTGAAGAAGAAACTAGAAGTGGGGTGTCCACTCCGAGAATCTGGAAAATTTAGATAAACTTGCCTTTTATAGGATTGGTTACCTAAACTGGAAAAAAGAGTTCTTCGTTTATCGAAGTGAAGTTTCAACTTTGGCTATAACCGTGAGAAGATTTAACCAAAGAGAAGAGAAAGGAGTTCTTTCGTTTATCGAAAGGAGACTCTGATCTGAAAGGGGACCCTCTTGTCTATGGAAAGAGTCAAGAGAGCCAGATAGACATTTTTGGTGGACCCACTGTCAATTAAAACTGATCAGTGAGGGATTTTGGTGGTGAAAATGATTTTGGGTTATCCTCTAGAATATTAAGTGTAATATTCTTCAAGGAACTTCCCGGTAAATGGGTTATCCTGAATGTACTAGGGATAGTACTTTTTCAGGAACTTCCCATTTATTGGCATTAATTGCCTGGCGCCCTCTTGAGTAATCAGGCGATATGCGCCGTTTGAATAGACTGTGTCTATTACAAACGGTCCTTCCCATATAAATGAGTTATCCTGAAGGTACTAAGGATAGTACTTTTTCAGGAACTTCCCATTTATTGGCATCAATTGCCTGGTGCCTTCTTGAGTAATTAGGCGATATGCGCCATTTGAGTAGACTGTGTCTATCACAAACGGCCCCTCCCGTTTGGGTTCGAATTTACCTTTCTTCTTGGAAGTGAGGATTATTGGTCGGCGAGCAGCGAGGACCAGATC